GGTACGTCAGCAGGGGTCGCAACATCAGATCCACTGACGTCACCTTGGCGGCGATGGTGCAGAGAATCTGGAAGATGTGGTCACCGACTGATACTGGCTCCATGCTGGTGATTGGGTCCGTGGGAGTTTGGTGGAGAGGAGGGGCGGAGTTGATGTTCAGGAGGGATGCCATCTTGTTGCTACGGCAGTGACTCAGGGAGGAGAGAAGGAGAGGAATGGAATCACCCATGGTGAGGACAGCATCCGCTATGCACGGTGTCGAGGGCTCAGGGGATTGGGGTTGGACCGATTCAGACGAACGCTCTTTATCGTCGTCACTTAGGGAGCTGGATTTCTGTTTAACGCTAGATTCTGGGGTTGATGCCGAAGATGGAGTCCTGGAGTCAGTCCTTGGGGGTGTGTCTGCCCGCTGGGAGGGGCCAGCGGGCATGCCCAGTGTCCTCCCCGGCAGACCCTGCTGGAAGCGGGCCGCCGCGTCCTGGTCCAAGGGGATCTTGACAAGCTGGCCCACCAGCTGTAACAGCTGGCACATCAGCAGGTCCCGGCTGGCATCACCATTCAGTGCACCCCGTGTCTCCCCACCTGGCCGCAGCATGCTGGCAAAGAGCCCGCCGAAGCAGGAGCGGCATTGAGGCTGCTGCTACTGGCCGCTGAGGACGCGGAGGAGCTGGTGGCGTGGCCGGCCGAGCTGATATGGTTGTGCACCAGCAAACAGATGGCATCAATGGTGTAGGTGATGTTGCTAACATCAGCGTGACTGTACGTCTGTTCATTCACAAATTCTATCATCTTCACCTGGGCATCTAAAGGGCCTGTGCCTGTATGAAACGCTCCCCTGTACATGCTGACAAGAAACAGCAAACACACTCAGTTAAACCACTGCATCCTGCTTGGTCTGCAAAACCAACACTCTTTTGAAACAGCAATCTATTCTCATTCCTACTTCCCATTGTAACTTACAGCCCAGTGGCTATTTACATTTCCACTACAGATTGAAACAAAATACAGATGAAGGTGTGATTCAAGCAACAATCACAATTCGATTTTTGTAGTCTTCTTTCTTTATTGCCACTGCTTGGAGAGTGCCTTATATACGCACTAAGCATAGACCACAAAGCAAGGGTTAGCCTAACTGTCCAGCCAAATTCGAAACTTACTGTGGTTCAGCCAAAATCTGCACAACTCTGAGAAGCAGGGTGTTGAGGTCTGGCACACTAGCGGCTGGAACGTAGCCTAAGCGCAGCTTCAGCCGCACCAGAAACTCGTACATCGCCTGGATGACAGTCGGACCAACCTTTGACAGAGAAAGAGAGATCATACAACACCATTTGATTGCAGGAAACAATCTCAAATGATGACCCAAATGTCACCTATTGTCAGGTTCCAACATTGGAAGCCAGAAGGTTATCTGGACAATTTTGACCCCCTGTGGGCTAGTTTAGACACTTTATTTGATTAACCAAATACAAAATGTGACAACATAACAGCACCCTCGACAGTTTTTAGACTGGAGGCAAATTTGATCCCAAATCTCCCGAGCTAAAATCCTGCATGTACCCCTGCATCCTGCTCTCTCATTAATATTACATAAGAGTGCACATCATTCATATACAGCTGGACATTTCACAAACAGTTTCTCTGTCTTTGGTCCTGGCTGCATTCTATTCTGAGCAGAAGTGCTCCCTCACTAGAGAAGAAGAGAAAAAGCTGGCTGGGATCAGTTCAACTGGGCATCAAGTAAACACGGTACATGAAACTGTGCACATGCACTACGCCTGATTAAAAAGATGTCTGTGCTTTGTAAAAGCATGCCATCTTTCAATCAGGAATGGAAAGGATAACAGGTGGTACTAGCAACAGGTTATGGAACACCAAGGATAGGCCCTACGAATGCACCTGCTGGTAGTGTAGACTCCCCACAGGGCCATGCATGGTGCTGCCGGACAAGAAGTGGACTAAGACGGCGATCAGGGAACCATGGCTAAGGATGACGTTGGCGGCACTCTGTTGCTTGCCGTCCACCTCTGTCTTGCTGTTGACCAGCGCCAGCAGGCAGTGGAAGGCCAGACACCAAGTGTGGACCGGCAGGTTGACATTCCAGGCCAGGGCGTGAAGCAGGCAGCCGATGGAGTCCGCGCTGAGGGTGACCACAGGCACCAGGCTGGTGTCAAAGAACCCTTCTTGCTTGGACTCACTTTCCTGGCCCACCTCGTTCACTGTCAACCAGAGTTTTAGCAAAGCATCCAGGTTGACCTGAAACAGAGAAGATGGGAGTTTTTGATTCCCTGGATACAAGAGTCATGTGCTAAAGACAGAATTAGAAGCTACTCTGGGGACAAGGATTCCACATGTAATCACAACCCACCGGTAAAAAAGCAAAGTGCACTTATGTTTAGCACACTCATGCTGTGTTACATATTTGTGCCCATTCCAACGAAAACTAGTTCAAGCACACATTTTATCTTAGGCCTTAAGATATGGCAATGCAAAATATTCGACTGTCCCTTTCCAAGATTCTGTGGGAGACTCATCATCAATGCCTACTTGAAATCTCCCGGAAAAAACTGGAATTGAAAAAGGGGGGAAAAAGTATGTCCGTATCACATCAGACATTATTTCTACTGGTCATTTGAACTATGAAAGGCACATTTACAGATCAACTACACTACATGGAAGAAAAACCCAAAAGTGAATACTACCTGGTTGGTACGTAGTCTGGTGAAGAGCTGATCAAAACAGCTACTCAGCATCCTACTGGATGTCACAGATGACTGACGAGGCAGGGCACCAGAACCCTCAATGGTGGGTTCTGCCTTGGAGGGGAAAGCTTCGTCGGGCTTGGGGGTTGGCAGAGGGGCACTTTGAGGGAGAGGCAGGGAACCCATGAGGGTCTGGCTGACGGAGTGGGCCTCCATCAGTGACATCACCTTCACAGAAATAGTCAAAAAGATGAAAAAGGAACTCGGATAACCGTGAAGCAAAATGCTAGAGAATGTTAAAGTAGGACATAAGATCATTTTCAACCATTTACCCTGGAGGCATGAACAGCAAGGGACGAGTGCTACTGAACTGTGTGACACACAAAAGATGTCAAGATCCCTTATTCTTACAGGATGTCAGGTATGCAGAGCACATTTGATCATGTGCAATGGTTGACTGCAGTTCAACTAATTTGAATAAAGGCACACTGGTCCGCCATGGTTGGGCTCAAGGAAAATATTTGAAAAGCTCCCCGACGATGAGGGTGGCACTGCTGGGCCACTAGTGGTCCCATATACTGCAATATGTGGGTCACTCTATGAAGTGGTATATACAAAGTGGTATATACAAAGTGTAACGTTTGTAGATGGGGTTTATATAAAGAGTCTCAGAGACAGACTGAACTTTTAATGTTTGCTGGGATTCTTCCAAATATTCTAGAATGGTTCACACCACATTTTAAGGTTAGACTATTTTTGAGAAAAATGGTTTTGAATACAAGATAGACATCCAACCATTTTCATAAATTTTCAAGATCAAAATACTTGGAAAAATCCTAGTGGTACCGGCTAAGTTGCATCTAACATTGTTAATAGCACTTCAATTACACAAATGTGTCCGTTTCTCACAAAATGTGCCACTGACTTCGTGGAAAGACCCATATACATTAGGCAGCCTGGACTACCGGTAAACATGACGGTATGTGACTTAGTTCAAGGTGCGCTCGTACTTAAGTTCTGGCGCACAAGCCCGAGGCAACACGAAGTTAATCAAGAAATGATCCTTCACTAAACTTCAGGCAAGGTTGATCAATGAAATAGTCGATGTCTAAACCACTCATGAGAGTGGCTACCTCAGATGACCTTTGACCTTACCTTTAAGTACCATTCCACCTGCATCTCCAGTCCTTGTTCTAGTCTGGCATCCATTGCCATGGAAACATTGGGCATGCAGCTCAGCGCTTTGTTGTGGTCGCCATTGTTGTTGACTTTGGCATACCTTATTATTCCACACAAAAACCAAATCACCCTGAATTCAATAATCCTTGAACTTAGAAACATTTACCAGTGTTCATCTCCTCACACAAGGTTGATGGTTAGACCTAACTTTTGTCCACAACATACTACAAAAAGAAAGCACTCAAGCAAGCACTTCCCGATAATGTACGGTTTAAACCAAGAAATCACCTGGGCCATGCAATGGACATGAACAAGTTTTGTGAATGTCAAAAAAACGAAAACCTGGGGACGTTGAAAGCCAACAGCTGTAGTTATCAGTACTGCTTACAGTATATTATTACTTTCTTATAAAATCTATCAGGTAGCCAGTAGGAAAACAGGCTTCATAACAAATTTAGTCCTCAATGTTTCTGTGAAATGAGTCAGTTCAGTATTTCAAAAAAGCAGCAGTTATCAGAAGACAAAGAACTTGATGTCATGTTGCCTTGAACATGCTAAGAGTGTGATATGGCTGACATTGCTCACGTATATTGATATTCTTGAATAACCTACATGCTCTTCATTTTGAACAAGCCCTGCTCATTTATCTAACTGGCTCACTGGCCCTAAGCCTGTTTCTGTGAAGTTGTGAAGCACAAAGCCGCAGTCAAGCCCAAATCAGCTGAGAACCAGTCACACTTTGTAAAACTGGAATAGCATTGTAGTATTGGGATATCCCCCTCTGCACTGCCCCCTTCCAATTTCTTTGGAACCTCATTTGCATTTCATATTCATCGTACAGGATATCTACTGCTCTTTCATGAGCAACCCCACCTTCACAGGAAAAAGCCATTGAATTCATGCTGCAGGGTATGATGTCACCTTCTGTGGAACACTGGAAGGTTGGTTGATTGTCTTTGTTTGACTGGAAGGTTGGTTGATTGTCTTTGTTTGACTGGAAGGTTGGTTGATTGTCTTTGTTTGACTGGAAGGTTGGTTGATTGTCTTTGATTGACTGGAAGGTTGGTTGATTGTCTTTGTTTGACTGGAAGGTTGGTTGATTGTCTTTGTTTGACTGGAAGGTTGGTTGATTGTCTTTGTTTGACTGGAAGGTTGGTTGATTGTCTTTGTTTGACTGGAAGCTTGGTTGATTGTCTTTGTTTGACTGGAAGGTTTCGGTTGATTGTCTTTGTTTGACTGGAAGGTTGGTTGATTGTCTTTGTTTGACTGGAAGGTTGGTTGATTGTCTTTGTTTGAGGGAATGGAGAATCTGGGGTAGCTGCCCTTGAGACCGTTGTGGGTGCAACAATGGAAAAAAGTTGAATTCTATGCTTTGGGGCAACTGTGTCACATGCGCCACAACTTTTGTTGTCGGACGTCTCACCTGTTGGACTTGCTGCGGATCATTCGAGAAGCACCCCCTGTGGTGACGACAAAGGGGGACGCGGACTGGGCGCCGCCAAACTTCCCAGCCTGCTCGTCATACTTGGTGGAGCCCCAGATCATGTCCATCATGAACTGGGGGTCGTAGGGATCTGTAGGGGCACCGGTGGCATACTCTGCTAACTCAGGGTCACCCAATGGGTTCATAGGCTCTGTGAGATGGAAAGTCAATTGGACGGATAGCGATGACTTCCAAGTTTAAAACAAGTTCAAAATGAAAGACTCAAAGGCAAAGTCTGTTTTTATACTGGCAACATGGAAATGCTTTGAAGGGGATTTTAAAGACAACTTGAATCTCAAAATCATTCTTTCAAGAGTGAGCTGCAAATGCGTGCTCTAGTTTGGAGCTCTAGCTGGTAAGACCTCCTTATCTCCCAACACTCCCTGTCTTAATCGGCCCTGACCTGAAGTGCTCCCCCATTCAGCAAAAGAAAGACAGGTGGTTACAAGCGGGTTCATGCACGCGTTCTGCGTGTACTCAAAGACCGTACATGCCAGAATAAATGAGTTACACGTACTCAGCGTTCTCCGCGTCAAACGCGCATATACTCACGCACCTCATGGTGCGCCAATGCAGTGAGTTTAAAAAAACACGCCCTCTTTTGTTCCACTTGGAGCGGATAGACAAACCAGACTTGTAATCAGAAAAGTTAACTGTGAGTAGAAGGATTACTTCAACTTTCCCCGCGGTTTGAGCGTACCTTCATCCCCTCCACTCTCCTCTCCAGTTCCTCCCATGGCTCCGCCTACTGCCTCAAGGTCTTCCGGGATGGCATCCGAATCGAGATCCTCCCCGGGGTCTGCTTCCTCTTGGCCTCCTACTGCTCCCAGGGGCTCCGAGGAGAAAGGATACAACTTCTCTCCTGTGTGGTAAACCCACAACGATATTTGTATTGATTCAACAAAGATGAACAGCTGTTACGGGATAGGAAAAAGCATTTTAAAGTTGTCACGGTTTTGAATTCTTGTAATTCTTATTATCATTAATCATTTCTGGTACTGACAGTAGCTCGTAAGCCTGAAGAAACCTGTAGAGAAGAGACGAGGAGAAGCAGTTACAGTTTTAGAGGTGGGAGGAAGACCGCAGAGGAATATTCTGGGTTAAACCCACAAAATCAGGTAGGGACTAAAAGCCTTATCCACATGTGGACTGAGCCGGGATTCAAATCCGGACTGCAGAGGTGGAAGGCGAGGAAAGAACCACTATGCCAACCTAACTCCTCGACTCAATCTTTAAAAAAGGTGTTATGGAGTAATTCAACAACAGGTATGTAGAAGGAAAGAGTGACAAAAATGCAGACATTCCAAGTTACCAAGATTTGGAACATTTGTTTGTTGTTTGATAGTATGTAATCATTAGAAAAAAAAGAAAAAGAACATCAGGTAATTTGAGAAAAAGTTACATGTCTGCACCACATAATGACATAACAACTGAACGGACAAACCATGCACGAAATGCCTCCATTTGTCTGGGTCTGGTCCTACCTTCTAAGGTGTCCTGCAGTAGGTAGGTGATGGCTGTCTTGGCCCAGGGACCTCCCCAAGAAGAACTCCCTCGGTTGTAGTCCGTCCCCACGCACAGCATCAGCAGTCGGTTGAGCTGCTCGCCAGTAGTGATCTCTGACAGCGAGATTGCCGGGCGGGTGGAGTTGGACACTCTCGCCAAAACCTGTAGTTTGCACAAATTGTGTTTTCTCAATTTTCCACATAAACGCATGCCTCCTGCCATTCCATATCTTCGTTAAAGACAAACATCACAAGTTTGAAACTGCACCTGCTTAGGCATATATCCCCAACTATTAATACTGAACCTACAGAAATTTTTACAATTTAAGTTCCAAATTAGCTTTATCCAACATGCATAGCTTGAACTTTGAGATTCTTGAATATATTTTACCTTTTGGGAAAATGTCTGCTCGGATATTTATGGCAGGCCCTCTTCAAGCTTTGTACACTCTCAGGAGTGTAGCAGAAACATGCCGCACTTATGCTTCTGATTCTTCACATGATAAGAGGGTTAATCACTAATGGAATCGTACCTTGCAGGCAAATAGGAAGAGATCAGCGTGACAGGTGAAGTCCATGACCAGTAGAAGCTGCATGAGACCCTGAACGACTGGGATGCACCTCTCTCTGGGCAGGCTGACCTCCGGCAGGCGGACGGCAGCCGCTTTGTCCTGCTTGGAAGGGGGCTCGCTCAGACCACCCCAGGCACGCATGTTGTTCTTGGTGATGCGCCGGATGCGTAGTATGTCGCGTAACTGCTGAAGTGGGAAAAGAGAAGGAAGGATAAACGAGGATGCAAAAATTTAGTAGAATAAGGAGTCGTTCCTTTTATCACGACCACTGGACTCCTTTCATAATACTGCTTAACAGCTGATTTTTGTGCTCATACAGCCTCTACCTGTTTCACAGAGACTGTTAAGCAAGGCGAAAACTCGCTTAACACTGGAGGAAAAAGTTGCTTCATTGGTTGACGTAACAACAGAGATCTCCATGCATGTGAAAAGCATTAGCATATCTAAGTTGTAAAATAGTGCTAAAGTAGCTGCATGATTTTCCGCTACAGTAAGCAAAACTTAGGTGCTAAGCACAGCATTGAAATCAGGCACTGGATATAGCAGCTCAGGACCGGGATGGAGGCTGCAAGACCTTACTTTCTTAACATCCTCCATCCTCCATGGAGCTATGAGTAGTAGTGGTGGATATTAACCACTTGCTGTCGGGTGAATTTTTCTTGAGCAAGACGAGATGCCGGCTCATTTTCAAGATTTTCCGTTTTCAAAATTTTTCAAAAATTCATCATTTCATTTAATGGCCATTTATACCACAATGAAGGATTCTTTGGGCACTATTCTAAAGCTGATAGGTAAAATTCATTGACTCCTGAATATTTCAGCCAGGCCTGCAGCCTTGGAAAAAGAGCCCAGATTGTGCGGTGTTATGTAAGATTCTTTTGTTCCCAAAACCGGCACAGTGCACTGCTGACCTCTTTTCAATAGGGGCCAGATTAGCGTGCAGCGGTGCTGTGTGGCTTATCGCTGCAGTGGTGGAGAGCTCTTGTCCCCGGTGGTAATCCGCTCACTCTAAATGCCTCAAACCGTGGTATACTGTTTCAAAACAAGGCTGGATTCTCTCCACTATTGAGAGCGAAAAAATGTTGGTAATGCCCAGCAGCTCAGTCTTTTGTACTGAGCACGGCCTGTTGATATGAGGCCCAACTCTTTTGTCCCAGTTCCGGGCTACCCGGCTCTGCATATAAAGCCTATGTTCTCGAAAACGGGTCACCCGGCAGGAAGTGGTTAAAGGTTTGAGAATGTACAGCAAAAAAAGGTGTGGCTGATAGTGAAGGGACGTACTGGGTCGAGGCCTTGGGCCAGATCTTGCAACAGTAACGTTCAGTGGTGCACAAATTTAGGCATAGATTGTGCCTGAAATGGTCTGCACTGTTCCAAGATATCATTAGCACAACCTCAACATAATAACAGGAATGGCTAAATGATTTGGAAGAACTGAAGCGGTGTTCACCCCTCCAAGTAACACATGCAAGGAATGACTGAGGA